CGCGCTGGAGTTTCTAGAAGGATCATGACTGTTCCTGGCAACTCTAGTCTTCTCCAGTCGCCCTCTATTTTTTTTTTTTTTGTATATAAGCCCGGCAAATAAAGCGGAGATAATAATTGCAGATAGACGGATATAGAGATAGATAATTGAGTTAAGTGAGCTGTAGTGACCGTAAGTAAACTGCGCGAATCGTTGTGAATTATAGCGTGTGTTTAAGTCAAAGTAACTGTCGAAATTAATTGTATTGAGAAAGAATAAACTAGTTTTATTTAAGAAAGGACTTTTATTGCTGAAGCTCCTCGGGAAGAATTTATACCGGAAATTAACAAACGACCAGAGACGTAACACCATGTAATGTTACCGCTGACCCTTCAGAGGAAGATCAAGCTATATTATTAAAAGTGCTTCATTACCTTAGTACTTGTTCGTTTTGCCTTCCCCTTCTTATTATTAAACAATTTTTGAAACTTGAAGTGTTAGCAATTCAAATGGTACTAATTTTCACGAGTATCCTTTATTACTGTGATTAATGTTCATATTCCCTTTCTGTATTAAAACATAAACAGGAAGCACTCTATAAACACCTGATGAATCAAAGGTCACACACAGTATAACAAAATGGTGTCTCGTGTAAGAGTTCGAGAACTTGTGAAAGCCGTGTCGATTTCTGCTTCGTAAGTGTGGATGAGTGTATTATAAGTAATACATATATATCATTACAACTTATTGTTTTGGCAGAAACTATTTGGACAAAATTTTAATTGTAATTAGTGGTTAGCGTAAAGTGTGGCCTCGCGCTAATACTCGACACCGTACCGTATTTTGAAAAAAATTCAGCTTCTCTACGGCAGCCGAAAAGAAATTCTCTGCCCTAGAGTAGAAAAGCTGAACTTGCCTGATGTTTTTGCAGAAGTTTGGTAAATTCTCGGATTCACGTGTCAAATATATGCTACAATATTGTAGTTCAAACCCCTTAATGGAAATTAGTTAACCGCCCAAGTTAAATTAGAAACATTAAACTTAATAAATTGTATATAAACTTGTAAAAAATTAAAATACTGACATTTTTTTATTTAACTTGGGCTCGCGTCAGTGTTATTAATATTATTCTATAAGTCTCTAGATGAGTAGATCACCATAGAAAGGAATTAATTTTTTTATGAGTTAGAAGGTTATAAAAATTAAAAATTGGTCGAAACAGTGTTTGCGAAATGCAATAGTTTAATTTTTTGAAATAATACGATATTAACTTCAAAATAAAATTTTTGTATATATATATATATATATTTCTATAACTAATTTGAAAAGTTATTCAAACTGATGGAAGTTTCAACTTCTATTTATGAGTTATGTCTAAACAAAGAAAAACATTGTATGATAAGAGTTATTGTTTTACTTATTTTCAGTTTAAGATGTGATAAGTTGAACATACTATCATTTGCAGTATTGTAGTATGCACTATCTACAACATTGTTATGCATAAAATTTCATGTTTTATTTTCAATGGGCAGTCACTTATATTGTGCTGCTTATAATTTTGTTGGCTTTCATACTTAGCATGATCCTGGCATAAATATATTAGGGTCAGAAATACTTGATTTCTATATACAAATAAACAGTTTTTTCTATAGTATACAACTTTACCATACATTATCTGCAGGTAAATGGTAAGTTACTTTGTGCACTAGTGTCAAAGGTTGAAGGATATTATGTCATTGATTTTGGAAAATATATAATAGTGGTTTCAACTTTGGAAAATGTACAATATTAGTCTAACTTTCTGAATTATGGTTTAGTAACATTCTAGCAAAGATAATTCTCAAAAATTGCGGTTATAGATAAATATAACATTGTACAGTGAAATTTTTAAATTTCATCTAAATACTTTTTAGTGACCCCACTATTTTTCTTAAATAAAGTTGTTACAACCTAAGTTGTTTGAAGTGTAGTAAAAAGAAATGAACAAATAGAAATTATGGAAACATTATTTCATACTATATATATAAATAGCATTCATATGTATTTTAAAGAAGATAATGTATCAAAGGCTGTGAGGTAGAGTTTTTGTTCTTATTGCATTATTCTTAGACCAGTTGTTTCTTGTTTTAGTTGCCGCTGTCCGGCCCATGGAGGAATTAACCAAATTTGTAAGTTTTTGTTCTTATTGTATTATTCATAGACCAGTTGTTTCTTGTTTTAGTTGCCGCTGTCCGGCCCATGGAGGAATTAACCAACTTTGTAAGTTTTATTTTTAGGTATTTATGCTTTAAACAAGTAAATGTAATTGTTAAAGTTGAGAAAATTAATGTAATGTCAGAAGTCATAACACCAACAAGAAAGTTTATGAAACTGAAAAAATGTTTTAACTATATAGATTTTACTTCAGTGTTATTTTACTTAATAATATTACAAAAACTGTAAAAAAAAAAAAACATTGAGAGTTTTAAGGTTACAGATGCAAGGCTTAGAAAGGTACTGTTCACTTTAGGCATTATGGGATATATTTTGAAATGATCTTTTGCAGTTCTAAGAGTTTTGGAGGGATTAATGTCCATTATTTTGGTAAGTATAAAGTAATGGAGAGTGGAGATCATTGAATAACTTCATAATTGTTTAATAAATTCAGTAGGCTTGTGCTCATTGTTTTAATTAAAGTCTATAAACATTATTTATCTTTGTTGAAAACAAAATTGAAGTCTGGGATTAGTTGTATAATATCTGAAATTTGATAACCGAATTTAATTTGTACGTCTTAAAAGCGTAATGTTTGTTTTTCTAGATCGTAATAACCATGAACAAAGTAAAGAAGAGATTCCACAGACGGATTATGCCTTTGAAGTAAGAAATAAAACAAGTATTTATTTATTTGAAAGATAGTGATAATAGAAAAAGTCAATAAAACAATATAAATTCCAAAAGTTAAGTGACATATTAACATTTTGCCAATAGATGTTTCCATTATACTTAAGAAGTTATAGTCTTCGTATTTTGTTCAAAGGAATACTAGCTTGTTTACTCGTAAATGGATTTAATTACACATCTTGGACATAGTACTGGGAGTTTTAGATTGATATAAACTGTAACAACAAGAAAAACTACATCGTATATATTACCAGTTGTTTTTTCTTTCTTAAAACTCCATTGTACGTTGCTAACTCTGGCAGCCCAGTGTTTAGAGGTTACATATAATGTATATAAATCCGTAATGAAATTCACGTTGTTATTCACCAACAAGCTTTTCTTCACTGACCAAGGTATTTAAACTTGGAATCATTCTGATAGTTTTTTATTTTTTTGCACCCTTTCATTCTTATTTTTATCCATTCTTTTGAAGTGATAGATGTGCTGAAGTTAACTTGTTCCAGCAAATCGTATGGACTGGTTAATATCTTATAATTAACAAAAACTTGGTAAGGACTACTTTCTGCTTATCAAACAGGCTGGTTAATGTCTTATAATTATCATAAACTTGGCAAGGACTACTTTCTGCTTATCAAACAGGCTGGTTAATATCTTATAATTATCAAAAACTTGGTAAGGACTACTTTCTGTTTATCAAACAGGCTGGTTAATGTCTTATAATTATCAGAAACTTGGTAAGGACTACTTTCTGCTTATCAAACAGGCTGGTTAATGTCTTATAATTATCAGAAACTTGCTAAGGACTACTTTCTGTTTATCAAACAGTTTTACTACATGAGAATCCAATAATAGGATTTTATATGATGCAGAATCTGGATAATGATGCCTATCATGTTAGGAAGAAAATGTAGTTTTTTAAGAATTAGATGAGAAGTTAGTGAAGATATGTAAAGTGGCTCGATTGATGGAATAGGTTTAAAGATTGACAAGGGTTGCCACACACTCAAGATTTTCTTCATTTCAACAAGTACCATGAATAAAAAGGGGAAGAGGGGATCTGTTTCATTGGTTAGAAATTCCCCATATTCTTATGAGAGATGTTATATTGTTATAAACTGTTTTAATATCTGAATTTAGACATTTAGTGTTAATTGCTAGAGGTAGTTTTAGAGAGGACGTGTGATACCTTGAAACTTCCCGAGTGTCTATATTTGACATCCTACATAGCTCTTTTATTTAGCAATACTTTTTTTTTCCTAATATTTGTTTGTTTACATTTTTATAAGATGGAATAAGTGGATTATTAGGTTATAGAGTGTATTCTAAAGCTTTATATATTTTACATAGAATAATAATAAAATAGGTAGTCAAAGATCGTGAAGACTGTTTTGCTCTATCCAATGATGACAAAATTATAGTTACTGCTACAAGTAGGATAGGCGCTAGGCCTATTGAAGAAAGGTTATGATGAACAAAAATAAGAAATCTCAGTTTTAGCTATTCGCAGTTTTTGATCTTGGGACGCTCTGGATAGCTGGAAAGTGGCATATACAGCAGAGATAAATGGACTATATCAAGTAGATCTTCATATCTAACTTCTGATGACATGTAGAAAAGAAAATCCAAATGACTTTTGTGTTGCTCTAATATGGGCATCCATGCCATCCCTACGTAGAGAGTGCTAGCACACTATGACTTTTATATAGCTTTAATATGGGCATCTGTGCCATCCCTGTGGATAATTTGTTTTTGATAACATGATACACCATTAATAACTTTTTCTACTTTTCTTTTGTGTTATAACAAAGCCTTAATTTGTAAAACTGTTAATTAGCTGAACTGTTATCTGTAAGCCCATCTTTGCATGAACCTCAATTTAAAGCACTTTCATAAGCACTTTTATGTTTAGAAGTGTTTGTATAACAACAAGGCAAAGCTTAGTTTTATAGATTTTCAAATATTTTTTCATTGTTTATCACATACACAATAAATCAGTTTAATAACATATTTTTGTTTCTTGTTATTCCAATAGATGGCGTGTTCAAGTGTACGGTATGGACCAGGAGTCACAAAAGAAGTTGGAATGGTACGAGAAGTTTTACTCTAAATGAAAAGGCTAAAAGTATTTTAATGGTTATATTTTTAGCTTCTCACTTCAGATTTTATAATTAAATTTAGGGATTTATAACAACACTACACTAATTTAAGCTTCTGAAAGTCTAGCAGGACCCTTTTGTCTAAAGAGAACTTGAAATCAGAAAATGATTTTAAAATGCTGTATGACAGTTATTATTTGTTGTCTAATTTTTTATACCTCCTACAGAAAATATACTTAAATGTAATTTTGCCTTCTGTTTGAAAACAGTTTTGAAGTAGTATCATGATTTATTTTAACAGGATCTAAGTAATTCTGGAGCAAGGAATGTTTGTTTGATTACAGATGAAAACCTAGTAAAGCTTCCTCCCGTGAAAGCTGTGCTCGACTCACTCCATAAGTATCGAATTAATTATAAGATCTTTGATAAGGTCCGGATTGAACCAACTGATTTAAGGTGCTTGTAGTTTGTTTAAAATGAACTTACAACTTTTTATATTTAGGAGAATGTTTTATATATTTTTAATTTCACTTATGGGACTAAGGATCAATCAATATAAGTCAGGAACTAAGGATTAATCAGTATAAGTCAGTAACTAGGGATCAATCAATATAAGTCAGTGACTAAGGATCAATCAATACAAGTTAGTAACTAAGGATCAATCAATACAAGTCAGTAACTAAGGATCAATCAATACAAGTCAGTAACTAAGGATCAATCAATACAAGTCAGTAACTAAGGATCAATCGATACAAGCCAGTAACTAAGGATCAATCAATATAAGTCAGTAACTAAAGATCAATCAATATAAGTCAGTAACTAAGGATCAATCAGTATAAGTCAGTAACTAAAGATCAATCAATATAAGTCAGTAACTAAAGATCAATCAATATAAGTCAGTAACTAAGGATCAATCAGTATAAGTCAGTAACTAAAGATCAATCGATACAAGTCAGTAACTAAGGATCAATCAATATAAGCCAGTAACTAAGGATCAATCAATATAAGTCAGTAACTAAAGATCAATCAATACAAGTTAGTAACTAAGGATCAATCAATATAAGTTAGTAACTAAGGATCAATCAATATAAGTCAGTAACTAAGGATCAATCAATATAAGTCAGTAACTAAGGATCAATCAATATAAGTCAGTAACTAAGGATCAATCAATATAAGTCAGTAACTAAGGATCGATCAGTATAAGTCAGTAACTAAAGATCAATCAATATAAGTCAGTAACTAAGGATCGATCAGTATAAGTCAGTAACTAAAGTATTGATTGATCCTAGTTACTGACTTATACTGATTGATCCTTAGTTACTGACTTGTATTGATTGATCCTTAGTTACTGACTTGTATTGATTGATCCTTAGTTACTGACTTGTATTGATTGATCCTTAGTTACTGACTTGTATTGATTGATCCTTAGTTACTGACTTATATTGATTGATCCTTAGTTACTGACTTATATTGATTGATTAAGTCAGTAACTAGGGATCAATCAGTATAAGTCAGTAACTAAGGATCAATCGATATAACTCAGTAACTAAGGATCAATCAATACAAGTCAGTAACTAAGGATCAATTAATACAAGTCAGTAACTAATGATCAATCAATACAAGTCAGTAACTAAGGATCAATCAATACAAGTCAGTAACTAAGGATCAATCAATATAAGTCAGTAACTAAAGATCAATCAATATAAGTCAGTAACTAAAGATCAATCAATACAAGTCAGTAACTAAAGATCAATCAATATAAGTCAGTAACTAAGGATCAATCAATATAAGTCAGTAACTAACCAATAATCAACAGAAGTCAGAATATGACACTAATAGGTATTGAAACAAATCCCAAAAATTAACTTTTCATACCTTAAATGGGTTAAAGTGAACACTTGATCCAGGACTTGTAGTTAAAAGTACTGTTTATTAGTATGTATTAGTAAGTCTATTAGTATGTATTTAACTGGACTTGTAGTTAAAAGTACTGTTTATTAGTATGTATTAGTAAGTCTATTAGTATGTATTTAACAGGACTTGTAGTTAAAAGTACTGTTTATTAGTATGTATTAACAGGACTTGTAGTTAAAAGTACTGTTTATTAGTATGTATTAGTAAGTCTATTAGTATGTATTTAACAGGACTTGTAGTTACAAGTACTGTATATTAGTATGTATTTAACAGGACTTGTAGTTAAAAGTACTGTATTAGTATGTATTTAAATTAGTTGCTACTTGTTTCTTCTGAGCCTGAGAAGTGAATATACTTAAATAAGTTGCTCTAAGAAATGAAATTGCTATAGTTTCAGTTATGTTTCTGAAAGAAAAAAGTAGGTTAGTCATTGTGAAAGTTGATGTCAAATTGTCCTTTTTTCCTAACATGGTACAAGCTTTTGTAACTTAACTTATAATTTGATTAAACATCTTTTAGTCTGTCACATCATGTCTGTTTTTTTCCCTAATTTTTTCTAGTTTTAGTGAAGCCATAGAATTTGCGAGGAGCAATAGTTTTGATGCTTTCCTTGCAGTTGGTGGTGGATCTGTAATTGACACGTGTAAAGCAGCCAATTTATACTCCTCCGATCCTCGAGCGGATTTCCTTGACTATGTGTCAGCACCAATTGGTAAAGGAAAACCTGTCACATGTCTCCTCAAACCACTAATAGCAGGTGTGGGAGTATTACTTACTATACGTATATTTAACTAGACTATATTTAACAGGCAAAGTATGGTCATCTCAAAGGTTTAATTAAAAAAAATATTTATGGATTAGAATGAAACATTCTTGTAATTATTTTTTGGTTTTGATGTTTTCTAGGTCATTCATAAGGAACCAGTCAAAATATTAATGTTCTTTGAATGAGTCAGAACCAGACAAAGTATTAGTGTTCTTTGAATGAGTCAGAACCAGACAAAGTATTAATGTTCTTTGAGTGAATCAGAACCAGACAAAGTATTAGTGTTCTTTGAATGAGTCAGAACCAGACAAAGTATTAATGTTCTTTGAGTGAATCACAGATCCAGTCAAAATATTAGTGTTCTCTGAATGAGTCAGAACCAGACAAAGTATTAATGTTCTTTGAATGAATCACAAAACCAGTCAAAATATTAGTGTTCTTTGAATGAGTCAGAACCAGACAAAGTATTAGTGTTCTTTGAATGAGTCAGAACCAGACAAAGTATTAATGTTCTTTGGATGAATCACAGAACCAGACAAAATATTAGTGTTCTTTGAATGAGTCAGAACCAGACAAAGTATTAATGTTCTTTGATGAATCACAGATCCAGTCAAAATATTAGTGTTCTCTGAATGAGTCAGAACCAGACAAAGTATTAGTGTTCTTTGAATGAGTCAGAACCAGACAAAGTATTAATGTTCTTTGAATGAGTCAGAAACAGTCAAAATATTAGTGTTCTTTGAATGAGTCAAAACCAGACAAAGTATTAGTGTTCTTTGAATGAGTCAGAACCAGACAAAGTATTAGTGTTCTTTGGATGAGTCAGAACCAGACAAAGTATTAATGTTCTTTGAATGAATCGCAAAACCAGTCAAAATATTAGTGTTCTTTGAATGAGTCAGAACCAGACAAAGTATTTGTGTTCTTTGGATGAGTTGTAGAACCAGACAAAGTATTAGTGTTCTTTGGATGAGTTGTAGAACCATTCAGAGTATTAGAGTTCTTTGAATGAGTCAGAACCAGACAAAGTATTTGTGTTCTTTGAATGAGTCAGAACCAGACAACCTATTAGTGTTCTTTGAATGAATCACAGAAACAGACAAAGTATTAATGTTCTTTAGATGAGTCATGTTTTAAGTTAATTGGTACCTAACATTTCTTGTTAAACAAGAACTAAAACTAAATCTTCCTAATATCAGAGTGCATGAGGGTTTTGACTTCAGTTTCCCTTAGTAACCACATTTTAGTACCTCAAGACGGGAGTGAAGAATTGTCACATAATTTCTAAACATGGTTACGGGGTAAGATTCACCTTTAGTACCTCAAGACGCGAGTGAAGAATTGTCACATAATTTCTAAACATGGTTACGGGGTAAGATTCACCTTTAGTACCTCAAGAGAACGAGTGAGAACTGACACAAAACTTCTAATCAAGATTACAATGTAAGATTCAACTTCAGTATCTGTACATAACTTATAACTGTGGTTACAATGTAAGATTCAACTTCAGTATCTGTACATAACTTATAACTGTGGTTACAAAGTGAATATTCCAAAAATGAAAGATAATCAGCTTGAAATAAAATCTGTGTCAAGAAATCAAAGTTCAAAAACAAGCTGTGTTATTATGTTGAGTAGATAGAATATGTTCTACATATCAGAATTAAAAATCTCAAGTAAGTTAAACTGTTGGAAAACATGCCCATTTTAGTACAGATCTTTGTTCTTCTACATGAGACCAAGTATACTGTGGAGAAAGTTGAAAGTGGGCCGGTGTCAGTAGTACTTTATAACATTAGTCTGTGGTAAACAATATTACGTCGATGGTTTGAAATGTTCTCTTACAGTAATGTTATAATTTAAGTTCCTGTTGATAAAGTCTTTAATTGTTATGTTTCATATTTCTTTGATGTGTTTTTCTTAACTATTCGTGCACCAAACTTCTTGCGAGTTCATAAGTTTGTTGTTTATAGTACTCTCAATAGCATGCCATCACTTGTGCAGTTTATTGCACTAACTGAATGCACTTAACTCAATCATTTTGGTCAATTTGTTTTCATTGAGTGTTGTAAGAAGCAAAAACATAAAACTTGTCAATAATATTTAATATGTAGACACAGTCAGTAGTGATGGGTATAAGTTTAAAGTTGGTGATTTGAAGGTTAAGTTAATTACATCAGGAACTGCATTGTATCACGTTATAATACGTGTTATTGCAATATTGTGTGAATTTGATCCATCTGTCATGTTTCATTTTGTGTAGTCTAAGCATTCAATTAAATTTATTTTCATACTTAAGGAAAAGTCTTAACTAAGTAGCAACGTGAAATGAAGGTTATTTACTGCCCATTCACCTAAAATTTTCTTACCCACGTTATGAACTTCACAATATTGTTAAAGGTGGGAACAAATTAGTCTGGACAAAAGAAAAAAAATTGGATATTGTTTAAAGAATTAGTGGACATTTAAAAATGTTTTTTCTACTTTAGTGCCAACAACAGCAGGAACTGGAAGTGAAACTACAGGAGTGGCCATTTTCGACTATGTGCCTCTAAAGGCAAAACTAGGTGTGTAAACTTTTTTCAAGAAATGATAAAAACCATAAAAGAGACTAACAACTATAAGAATTATTAGGTTGCTGTGCAGTCTTTGTTTCAATATCAAAAACAAAATGATAAACTAGCATTGTTGGTTGAAAATTTTATTCTGAAAAGAACCACCCACATGCTGTTGTTTTTCTATCAAAAAACAGATTTATTTGCTACCAAAAATAAAAGCATGGGATTAAAACTTTATGGTTGTTCTTGCTATGTCAGTGGATTAGCTGTGTAACATTATGTTCTGGGAGGAACAATAAGGCCCTGTGGATAATACGTGTAACATAAAGCGCTGTGTAGAGTATTATGTGTAACAATGCACTCTGTTTGGAATATTATGTGTAACACAATCTTATTTAGAATATTATATGTAACATAATGCCATGTGTGGAATATTATGTGTAACACAATCCTATGTAGAATATTATATGTAACATAATGCCATGTGTGGAATATTATGTGTAACACAATCCTATGTAGAATATTATATGTAACACAATATTATGTGTAACATAAAGTGCTGTATAGAATGTTATGTGTAATGTAAAGCTCTATGTGAAATATTGTGTAATACAAAGCCTTGTGTGATATGTGTAACACAAAGCCTTGTGTGTGTATATTGTGTGTAACACAAAGGCTTGTGTGTGATATTGTATGTAACGCAAAGCCTTGTGTATGATAGTGTGTAACACAAAACCTTGTGTGTGATATTGTGTGTAATACAAAGCAGTTTGTGATATGTGTAACACAAAGCACTATGTGCGACATAAAACCTTGTGTGTGATTTTGTGTGTAATACAAAGCAGTTTGTGATATGTGTAACACAAAGCACTATGTGCAACATAAAACCTTGTGTGTGATATTGTGTGTAATACAAAGCACTGTGTGTTATATGTATGTACTGTGTTTAAAATCAGTAGTTGAATTTCAGTGGAATAATGTAAGGGAATGTTGTCCCCATTATTAAAATATATGTCAATTTCATCCCCCTTGTGAACATAATCAAATGCATGGGAAACATCCTGAGAGTGAGTCTTCATTGACGGTGTACAACTACAGTCATACTGATTCTTCCTGTGCCAAAAACCGTCTCTATCAGTCGTTGGTAAATACAAACAATGCCATTTTTCTTCGTATGAAAGATTCAGCCCTTCAACTCGACTGCAAATCAACAAGAATTTTATACAAAACGGATAACTACACAAAAAGAAGAATTTCCGAAAGTTGCTTTATCAAAAACCTGTCTAATTTCAACACCTCCCAAGATCTTTGGCCGGAAGGGCCATGTGGTTAAGGACCGCGACTTGCAACTGCGGGTCACAGGTTCAAATCCCCGTCCCACCAAACATGCTTGCTCTTTCAGCCGCGGGGGCATTATAATGTGACTTTCAATCCCGTTATTCGTTGGTAAAAGAGTAGTCCAAGGATTGACGGAGGTTGGTGATGACTAGCTGCCTTCCCTCTAGACTTACACTGCTAAATTAGGGATGGCTAGTGCAGATAGCCCTCATGTAGCTTTGTGCGAAATTCAAAAACCAAACCAACCCTTGAACTTTCTTAATAATAATAAAAACAACTTATTTAAATGCATCTTAAGCCTTATTTAAGGTTGACTCGTACTCAGTATTATATTTTTCTGTTCTAAAGCACCTGAAACACCTTGGTTGAATTCTTAAAAATAAACTTATTAAATAAAAAGAAGTATTAGACAAGTTTTGGATAAAATACACATTGTCAAAAGTTGAATTCTCTCAATATATATAAAAATTTCACAAAATAAAGGTAAGACAAAGTTTTTTCCAGATTTTTGTAATTTTATAATATTGATAATATCCTATTTGAACTGTTAATACTTTATTATTATGTCTCACTCTTATTGTTAGGCATAGCAAACAGAGCTTTGAGGCCTACCTTGGGAATTATCGACCCTCTCCATGCTCTGCACATGCCAGAACGTGTGGCGGCTTTCAGTGGGTTTGATGTGTTATGGTGAGAAACCAGCATTTGGAATAACTAATAATAACTTTAATAGTTAGCAAGAAAATTAATTAATATATCCCAAGATAGAAAAAGTGGCAGAAATAATTTCTAGTTGTAATATTAATACTTAGTTTATGGATGAATTGTTTAATACTAAGAATGAAGTATTTAAAGCAGTATTTGACAATATTTTTATGAAGTATAACTAGTTTTATTCTGTTCTCTCATTTCCATTTTTATGTGTGAATTTCTCTTAGCAATTGTATCTGACTGAGCTTATAGTTTTTAAAGTTTAAAGCTGTTCCTCCTCCTCTTTTATTTTGATGGTCTTTGTACTAGTAATTCTCATATGTGTTTATGTTTGCAGTAAAATAAAACAATGCTAAACAGTTATTTGTTCTGTCCTATTTGGAATAAGACTGTCCAATGGACAACCTTTGAAACAATTATGGTTGTTTGCAATAAACTATAGTTGTCCTCACTCGAAAGAACAAGTTAGTTGGGTAATAAAAATTACAAACTTGGTGTAACATTATCCTAAATTACACTGGAAAAAGGCCCGGCATGGTCAGGTGGTTAGGGCACTCAACTCGCAATCTGAGGGTCGCGGGTTCGAATCCCCGTCACACCAAACATGCTCGCCCTTTCAGCCGTGGGGGCATTATAATGTGACGGTCAATCCCACTATTCGTTGGTAAAAGAGTAGCCCAAGAGTTGGCGGTGGGTGGTGATGACTAGCTGCCTTCCCTCTAGTCTTACACTGCTAAATTAGGAACGGCTAGTGCAGGTAGCCCTCGTGTAGCTTTGTGCGAAATTCAAAAAACAAACAAACAAACAATACACTGGAAAGTTCATTAGTTGATAGAAAATCATGAGGTAATATAAATCATAATGTAAAGTATGTCACCACTTACTAAATTTTCAGAAACTGGTCTATCTTAACAACAGTCAATATGAAATGGCAATACA